TCAAATATCTTGTTTTTCAGTTTGGTAAAAATTGGGCCCATGTTGAACTAGTATGCCAAAAATTAGGATGTGAATATGTCTCAATTGAAAACACAACCAGACAAAACTTTTATAAACTTTTTTTCTTTGTACATATACAAAATGCCTGAAACTATCTTCAGATACACTGAGATAGTCTACATGTTCAAGTGACGTTGTAGCTAACATTTTCAATGCTTTCACAATCATTGATCACAACCAATAGATCAAATTTAAAATTACTAAGCACTTCATACAGCCTCTTTTGTAGAGCACAGTTCTATAATTTCTGGATCACCTACTTCAAGATCACACGGCCGAAAATACTTGAGACCAACAAAGTTGAAATCTTTGTCAATGATATTTATGGCTCTTCTTTTGACATAATCTGTATTACTTCTGTATTTAATGTTTCTCAAGAAAAACAAAAGGTCTTTTGAAACCCTCTTTTACCCCACCTTATATTATTCATTCATATAAATGTGGTTTGTGTGAATTTAAATTATTTTATTCAAGAAGAGAGGTCGTCGAATGTTTAAGTTGAAGTCTTAAAACATATTATATATTAGCAATGACAAAATGCCCCCTTGTTCCTAAAGTTCTGATTTGTAATAATTTCTTCATGTAATGCGTTAGATACATTATATATATATTTCGGATGTTTATAATGATTTTAATAATATATCATATTTTGTATTGAATTTGAGATATACATATCTCAATTTTAATTGTGGCAATTAAGTGGAGGGAGGAAGGGAGAGAGAACAAATAAGAAGAAAAACAAAAGGACTTTTGACACCCTCTTTTACCCCCAACCTTATATAAGCATGTGGCTCAAACAGAGTCTTGTGAGGGCAAGCTTCCTACGACACTTGTTGAGGTCATTAATATTGGGAAACAAAAACTACTTATGATAATGATAAATATAGAACTAAATTAAACAAATTCCAGTGTTGATAATTATAGGGGTTAAACTACTTACAGTGCCTAACCAAAGATCGATTTGTACAACACCTCCAAGTCCTCAGAAATCTTGGGAGCCTAAATAATTTTAACCTGTGTGGATCGCAACCATAGAACAGACCAACAAAGAACATATTATATATAAGAACAAAGCTAGCTTTTTTACCATCTAGGGTGCCAAGTCTATACAATCTACAACCAGTCACCATCTGTACTTGTGAAACAAATATAGAGATCCTAAATAAGAACAATTTAAAAAACACTAGATAAAATATAACACAAAAAACCTACAAATCAAATCAACAGGAACAAATTTGAAGATAAAAACTATCAGAAGAAGCTTCTAAAAATTTTATAGGAACTATTAAAAGAAACTTCTCAAAATAGACTATTAAAAGAAACTTCTCAAAATTTTATTGGAACTATTAGAAGAAACTTTTCAAGATTTTACAGAAAATTTCATTCAATAATACAAAAAAAATATTCTGATAACTTAAAAATAAATTAATATAAGCCTCCAGTTTACCAACCAAGAAGTCTTGGCCTACAAAGAGAAAGAAATCATGTTCCAGTAGTTGTTGTGGCCTGAAATTACAGAAGTCAAAAAGTCGTTTCTGTAGATAGAAAGCGACAAAGTTGAGACAGTGCAAAGAGTGTGACAACCGAGAAAGAAACACAAGACAGGGAAAAGTTGAAACTGAGACAAGCTGACATGCAACTCCTGTGCATAAACTATAAATTGAAAAATTCCTTGGAGACCCCAAATCATGGGACCCAAGGGGGGACAGGTGAGGTGTCAACCCCTGGTTGCATGATCTACTGTTCATGAACAGTAGATCATGCAACCAGGGGTTGACACCTCACCTGTCCCCCCTTGGGTCCCATGATTTGGGGTCCCTGTAGAACAACTCCTATAAATTAGTCTGCTCACAGAGCAACTCAGCCGGTACAAGGTAAGGATTCGAAAAACATGTATAGAATATAAAACAGAAGACAGAAAAGATAGCAACTTGCATAAACCAAAATTTTAGCCCATTCAGAGAGCAACAAAAGCTGTACGTGAAGTTCTCTTAAATGTCGTTAGAAGTCAAATTTTCACAAGTACTATTTTGTCCAATCATTTTCTACAGAGAACTACAACGGACCTTAGTTTCTCCAACCTGCAAGTTATCATGATTTGCAATTTGACAGTTATCTAGGCCCCAGTCCATAAACCCATGAACCACATTAAAGAAATACCTGCCAGTACTCTCAATCCGATGAATTGGGCTTAAGTGCAATTTATCTACTGGTTACCTGTATGCACATGTGCACGTGCAAAGAAAATCAATAGGAGTATATGCTTGCATACAAAATGATGTCCTCTAATCTAAGTTGCATGGGTACAGGTATGGGTATAGGACACGACAAATTCGTTAAAGTTAAGGACGCGAACACGACTATATACATGTATGTTATGTATATATTTGTATTAAAATTAATAATTTACATAAGATCAATGTTCTTTTTTCATTTACATAAGATTAACATATAAAAAAATAGACGTGAAGTGTGGGTCCACTAGTGTGAACACCGTGCAAAGCATGGCATATTTTTCCCCACTATAGTAATCCCGGTTCATTTTTGAATTTTTAATTGCAACAGTATCCTGCCTCCGCTACACATGCGCTACAGTAATATTTTTTTCAAAAATGGTGTCCAGTTTTTCATTTTGCTACAGTGGTATTTCCTGTAGCATGAATAGTGAATCTTCTCCCATGTGTATATAGAGGAATAGATTTCAAATTAAACATGTATTATATAATCGAGCATACGCCTAAATAAATGTATGCATATTTTCAAGAATATACGCCCAACAAGTGGTATTTCAATTAAAACATATGTTATATAATCGAGCATACGTCTGAATAAATGTATGTATATATTCAAGAAGTGTCCAAGAAATTTCAGTATGATTACAGGTACGTGTTGGTAGAAGTACCCAAGTAACATAGCCTCTAGTACTACAAGAAAAATAATACTAGCAAACAATAAATTTAATGTAGAGTAGTGCTTCCTTTTTCGTCTTCCATTACAAGAACTATCACTTACCCTGTGCTGTTTATTTTGATAATTCATAAATATTAACATACATATCAGTACAACGAAAATCAATCTCAGGCCAGGGATGCTCAAAAACTAAGATAATTTATGAAGCTATTGCTAGAACCGATCTACAACCACTGTACTATCAATGAAAGAAACTACAATCATTAGCACCATTGAGGCAAGGATCATATTTGTATGGATAAACTGATCATGGAATTAACTTACATCTAAAGTTAAACCAAAATTCCACAATGCATAGCTTCAATGTTTTCCAGAGCAAGTTCCTTTCGGGCTTAAAAACTAAAACTGCACAAGATGACTCTTAAGATCAGGTTAAACATACCCACTACAGAGAAAAAGAGACACCTGGGAGGGAAGTGTTTGACAAGTATTTTAAGTTTAAAAAAATATCGCATAATTGAGTATATGTTTGAAAAAATGTGATGCGTGTCGGGTACGTATCGGGTACAGGTACGGCTTCCTGATAGGAGAACCCGAGTAACATAGCGGCAGATGATTTTCTAAAAGTTTTTACAAATTATAGCCACAATCATAGGACATATGGTTTCTGAAAAAGATGATACCACAACCTGTAACAAAAAATCATGTTTATCAATTATTTTCTAAGAGTTGTTACAAGTTGTTATGGCCACAATTATATATTTTTACAAAAACTCATGTTTATCAATTATTTTCTAAAAGTTGTTACAAGTTATGGCCACAATTATATGTTTTTTCATTCATAGTTTATATGCCCACAATAATATATTTTTACAAAAACTCATGCTTATCAATTATTTTCTAAGAGTTGTTACAAGTTATGGCCACAATTATATGTTTTTTCATTCATAGTTTATATGAAAGTAACAGAATGTCATATTGAAAAATCATGACATAGCACTATAAACTTAGGACCTGATACACAGTTAACATGAAATGTAGCCACAATCATAGGTCATATGGTTTCTGAAAAAGATGATACCAGAACTTGTAACAAAAATTCATGTTTATCAATTATTTTCTAAGAGTTGTTACAAGTTATGGCCACAATTATATATTTTTTCATTCATAGTTTATATGAAAGTAACAGAATGTCATATTGAAAAATCATGACATAACACTATCAACTTCTGACCTGATACACAGTTAACATGAAATGTAGTTTACTGAAAAATCATGACATAACACTATCAATTTCTGACCTGATACACAGTTAACATGAAATGTAGTTTTTTCACCTAATACAAGTATCAATACATGCTCTGATTTTAATGACATTTAGAAAAAGATTTTACTGAAAAATCATGACATAACACTATCAATTTCTCACCTGATACAAAGTTAACATGAAATGTAGTTTTTTTTACCTAAATACAAGTATCAATACATGCTCTGATTTTAATGACACTTAGAAAAGGAGTTTACTGAAAAATCATGACATAACACTATCAATTTCTGACCTGATACACAGTTAACATGAAATGTAGTTTTTTTACCTAAATACAAGTATCAATACATGCTCTGATTTTAATGACATTTAGAAAGTATGAAACTTAAGACGTTCAAACACAAAAGAATATTAATAGCAAGAAGTCGCCATAAATTGCTGTGATCCAAAGGAGGAATCCTTGAGAAATTATTAGAACTGGTAATAGTTTCTGCAAAGATAATCCATCTCACCTATTGAAGTACTACTACAAATTCACATAAACAGAAGAAACTACATATAAACAGAACAAAACCTAATCAACAAAACTCCAAACAGAACAAGAAAGAACAAGGCACAGCTACAAAGATAATGTAATAATAGAAATGGCAAAAATGTAAGGGTGGATACTAAAACTAGCATAGAAGAGAAACGCCAAGAAATGAAGGCAAAACAGGAAACTAGAAAAAGTGAACTCTGCAGAAAACAAGGGAAAATACAAAGATAATGCCAAATAACCCATGAATGTTGAATGAAAAATAGACTTTCACAATCATATGTTTAAATGTTGCATTACAAATGGACAGCAACCTGATGCCAAGTCTACATAAAAGTTCACAAAAAACTCACTGAAGTGACCACATAATGTCGCTACATGGGAAAACTTAACATGTAGAATCTTGACACCCTCAACTGAATGGTCCACCTGGACTACTGCTGTACATGATGATTTTAATTCTTCATGTAGAAACTTGACACCCTCAATTGAATGGTCCACCTGGACTACTGCTGTACATGATGATTTTAATTCTTCTGATTTCTAATTCCACAACTCAAGGATATAACCCTAGTAGCTGTCTCCCAGAATGGATTTCCTGTGTTGCTAAACTAGGACAGTGGTCCACCTGCACTACTTCTGTTGTACATGATGATTTTAATTCTTCCACAACTCAAGGATATAACCCTAGTAGCTGTCTACCAGAACGGATTTCCCATGATGCTAAACTATGACAGTCTCCATGCTCTTCACCCTTCTAAATTTCTCCCTTTAGTAAGGCATATGCTTCTGTAAGCACAAGATAAGAGAATAATTTCTAATCGATTCTTGTCCAACTTAATCATGAATTGTCTTATAGAAGCACAAGAGAATAATTTCGAACAGAATCTTGTGCAACTTAATCATGAATGTCTTTATGCCCTTCGACCACATAAATTTGTTTTTCCATTTATTAAAAATTAAGAGGGGCGTGACCTTAATATACCAGAATGAACTTCCAATGGCTGTCTAACCCCAGTTGACATAATAATGGCTGTCGAACCCCGTTGACATAATAAGATACCACCCTCAACATAGACCAGACCAAGCAAGTGATACATCCCTCAGATATTAGCAGAATAGAAGGTTCGACAGTACCAAAGCACCTCTCCCAAACCGAAAGTCCAACACTAACCAATAGTAGTAGTAGATATCATATCAGCTTCAAGCCCTTTAGCAGGGACATGATTCTCGAATACAGAACCGACAGTGCAAAAGTCAGATATGAAAAGAACACTGATCTCACATATCAAACAGTAGAATATCAACCACCGAACTCTTAACCACAGAAAAAGGTAGCCACTGTGATTTCAAAATCTATCTCATGCAAACAAAGCTCCAGACACTCTTAACCACAGAAAAAGGTAGCCACTGTGATTTCAAAATCTATCTCATGCAAACAAAGCTCCAGACCACAGAATATAGAAAATCAAACCTGAAAAATTAGTTGAAAGGTCACCAAACAAACATACCGAGAAGATCCGCAAAATGCCCATGCCAAACTGGCGTGATTTAGGTGAGGAAAGCAGAGATCTCAGTGATCAATTAGGCTGCCTAATCCGGGTCATCAACTGGATAATCTTCTGATAACAAGAAAGTAAATCAACATCTTCCTACCACCGGAGCTGCTATTCATTGCATTCTTAATCTCCACATGAACAGACGACCCCACCTCAGAGAGCTCTCTGTATCAATTAACAGCACAATTAACAGCACAATCTAAAGTTCTATTTCGTTATTGATTCAACCTAACTTCTTAACTATCACTTTTCTGAACTCATTTCATTTCATTCTTCGTTTCAGCTGAAACAATTATCTTGTCTAACTAACAATGACCATCAAGCTTTTATTGGATTTGGTCTGATTGAACCCAGACCATCATATCTTCCTACATTAGTTTAGCGTGTCTCTGCATTTAAACCAAGTAGTTGATTCTGAATCCTGATTGTCACTCATCTGCACTTATCCTTGAACAGGACGCTAATAAAAGAGAACAATATGGTTCCACCAAACATTGATCTTCGTATAAAATTGTGTTAAGCACATAGATTCAATAATAGCCTAACAATGCTCGTGCATGTGGTATACAAGGACACTCCATAGACCATGGTACAACAGAAAACAAATAAAAAACATGAAACAATTCCCCACATTTTTTGCACCATTTTATGACCACCAGTTGAATTTTCATACTATATGCTGATACTTATCCTTCTGTAAGAGAAAAAATAATTTGAAGCACCCATCAACACATTATGCACATATCACCCAAGGAATCAAATCAAGAAATCATGAAGATTTTAATTGCCAATAAAAGAACTATATCCTAGCATGTAGTCCAAATAATGTGCAGACCTCCATCTAGTGACCTACATCTCTCTCTATATATATATACACTGTCGAAATCACAGAATGGAACTAAACAAAACTATGATATGATAATCACAGAATGGAACTAAACAAAATTATGATATAATAATTATCAGGCAACAATAAAAGCTTACAGTGCCTACCCACAGTCGCTCCACTAAGATGTACCGCGATGAAATCACAGAATTGAACTAAATTAATTTCTACTATGATAATCATTGGGCAACAATGAACTTACAGTGCCAACCCAAGATTGCTCCACTAAGATATCTCAAGTCCCAATTTTTTTTAAAACTGAAACTCCCAGAGGATGATTAAGCTATTCTACACCAACTTGCAGATAAAAGCCATAGAAGTATCAGGCAACAAGAACAACAAGAAACTTACAGTGCCTAAGCCAAGGTTTCAGGACTTTCTGAAACATAAACTCCCAAATGATGGACAAGATATCCTTCACCATCTGCCAAATCAAGACCATAGGACAATTATCACACAATAAAAGCTTACAGTAGTTATGTTTCTACTAACCCAAGGTTGCTCCCTTCAATTGCGTCAGAGTCCTCAGAATTTATTGAAAGTGGAACTCCCAAAATGATAATCATTCTATTCTTCACCTGCTCCACTAAGATATCTCAAGTCCCCGGGCCTTTTTGAAGCCAAAACTCCCAGAGGATGATTAAGCTATTCTACACCAACTTGCAGATCAAAGCCATTGAAGTATCGGGCAACAAGAAGCTTACAGTGCCTAACCCAAAGTTTCAGGACTTTTTGAAATATAAACTCCCAAATGGTGGACAAGATATCCTTCACCATCTGCCCAATCAAGACCATAGGACAATTATCACACAATAGAGATTACAGTGGTTATGTGCCTACTTACAGTGGTTATGTGCCTACTAACCCAAGGTTGCTCCCTTCAATTGCATCCGAATACTCTTGAAAGTGAAACTCCCAAAATGATAACTCATGCTACTCTTCACCATCTAGCAGATCAAAACCATATAGAAGAGGCATAGACAAACGAGAGCTTACAGTGCCTAAGGGGGTGTTTGGCAATCTGAAAGTGAATTTAAAATATGTTACTTTTTTTTGCAAATGACTTTTACATCCTTGTCAGCACGCAAGTGAAATACAATGTTTGTTTGAAAATTTAAATTATTATCGAAAGTGCAATGTGAAGATGATGTGGCAAAATAAGATTAATTAGAAAATATAATTAAAATTATTTAATTAAATTAGTTACCTTTTTGTCACTTTCATGTGACTTCACCACTTTTTTAGGGGAAGTCAAAATTGCATTAAATCTTATGTGGCAACTTTCTTACATCTCACTTTCATAACCACTTACATGAAAACAAACACCTTAATTGTTAAATGAAAGTAACTTTTCACTTTCATCTTTCACTTGCATGCAAACAAACACCCCCTAAACCACAGTCGTTCCGTAAAAGATTTACCAAGTCCTCAGCTCTCTTTGAAACTAAAAACTCCCAAATGACAATTAATCTTCACCATCTGACAGATTAGAAACATACAAGAATTATAAGCCGTAAGATATTCTTATGCAGATCAAATCACAGAAGATCATCCGCGAAATATCTCAAGTCCACCGAACTTAGGCAGATCAAAACCATAGAAGAGGTACAGGAAAACAAGAAGCTTACAATGCTTCCCCCAAGGTTGTTCAATAAAACATGTCAAGTCCTCAAGAATATTTGGACTCTCAGACCAAAACTCTCAAAAGATAATTAACTCCAGGCAGATCAGCCCCATAGAATTATTAGGCAACAAGAAACTTGACAGTGCCTCACACATTGCGCTCCACAAGAGATATCGAGCCCTCTAAACATTTTGACACCAGAACTCCCAAATGACAAGCTACCAAGTCTTCACCATCTGGTGAATCAAAACACTAGAAGATTTATTGGGCAATCAAAACCATATCAAAGAATTATTGCTCAATGAAAGATCTCTAAACATCAGAACTTTTTGAAGCCAAAGCTCCATCATGATAATCAAGCTATTCTTCACATCCTGGTAGAGCAAAACAATCAAAGAGGTAGGTACAAGAAGATTACAGTGCCTAACAAAAGGCTGCTCCATAAGAAGTGTAGAACCTTTTGCAACCAAAGCTCATAGATTATAATCAAGCTATTCTTCACTATCTAGCAGAACCATCGAAGAGGTATAAGGAAACAAAAGCTTACAGACAAGACGCTTACAATGCCGAACCCAAGGTCGCTCCATATCGTTCTCAGAATTTTTTGAAACAGAGAACGCAAGAAGGTTGTTCTTCACCATCTGTCATACCAAACCATAAATAATGGTTCTGTAACAAGAGACTTACAGCGCATGGCCCCTGCCTGACATTAAATTTATCAAGAATTTTTTGAAACAGAGAACACAATTAGGTTGTTATTCACCATCTGTCAGACCGAACCATAAATAATGGCTCGTAACAAGAGACTTACAGCGTATGTCCCCTGGCCCTGGCTGACATTAAATTTATCAAGAGCTCAAGACTTCATGAAACTGAAACCGCTAATGTCTAACAAGGTGGTCTGCACCATCTGCCAGATAAAAAGGAGGTACAGCAAACACAGACTTACATCGTCAAGTATTGTGGACAATTTACATTGCCGAATAATGTGCAAGCTTCCTATGATACTTCATCTACTGTCCAAGATCTCATAACTACAGCTCACAGAGCTGAACTACACAAATACATAGGATATTGTTGAGCAACAAAACACTTACTGTCCAAGATCGCAAAACTACGGATCACAGAACTGAGCTAAACCGATACATAGGATATTATTGAGCAAAAGAAAACTTACAAAGTTAAGCCCAAGGTTGCCCCGTAAGAGATCGAGTCGTGACCGAAAGTTCCGATAATGATAAAACTACATTACCAAGTCACAGATCAAAGCTACAGAAAAATCATCGGGCAACAAAAACTTACAGTGCCTAAAAGATATGAGCTGCCTAAAAGATATGAGCTCGGGACCATCTAAAACCAAAGCCTCCGAACAATGAACAAGCCACTCCTCACCATCTGGCAGATCAAAACCACAGAAATTATGCAAAAACAAAGACTTAACGGTCTCAAATAATGAGCAAACTTTTTACGATGTTCTTGATGTCCTTTACTTCTGTGAGTGTGTGTGCCAAGTCTCAAATAATGAGCAAACTTTTTACGATGTTCTTGATGTCCTTTACTTCTGTGAGTGTGTGTGCCAACAAATATCACAGTACCGAACTAAACAAATTAAGCCATGATAACTATTAGGTAATAAATAGCCTTACAGTTCCTAGCGCAAGGTCGCTCTGTAGGGCAGTGAAGTCCCTGGACTTTGAAGAAGGAACTCCCAAATTATAGTCCATTCTCAAACTGGCAGATCAGAACTATGAAAAGAATCATTGGGCAACAAGAAACTTACAACGCCTAACGCAGACACCGCTCTGTAAAAGAGTCCTCGTCCCCAGGGTTTTTTCCAAACCAGAACTCCTATAAAGCTCTTCTTCAATATCTTACTGCTGCTTAAAGTGCCAAACACAAGATTTCAGTGATGTTTTGAAGCTAGAACTCTGAAATAACAATCAATCTACTCTTCCACCATTTGATTGATTAAAGCCATTGAAATTGGTGGCAACAAAATGCAGCCACCAATTGATTGATTAAAGCCATAGGAATTGGTGGCAACCAAATGCAGCGATAGAATTCCACACGAAGGGGGGGAAGGGCAGGAGGGTGATTCTTATGGTGCATAACAAAAGGATAGCAGCGTGTGCTGACAATATTGCAGACTATATTGCAGAACTGAATGCAACAGATTATGGTACAATACGTATCCAGAAACTAAGAAGCTTACAGTGCCAAAACCAAGGTTGCTCCGTAAGAATTACATGTCAAGTCCATAGGATCTGAACTGAAGCACCCAAATGATAATCAGTTCTGGGCAACTGGCAAATCAAAACCATAAATGAATTTTTTGGCAACAAGAAGCTCACAATGCCGACCGCTACGTTGCTCCATATAAGAGCCCCATTACTTTGTCAAACCAAAGCTCCAAAATGACAATCAAGATATTCTATGTCATCTGGCCAATCAAAATATATAGAAGAACTACTGGGCACCAAAGGGTTTACAGTGCCTAACACAAGGCTGCCATTGGTAGACACTCCCAACCAACAACCAAGCTATTCTTATCAAAGCCATAGAATTACCGGGCAACAAAAAGCTTCTGGCGCCTAATGAAAGGTTCCTCTGTGAAATCCCAACTGACAATCCAAGCTATTCTTCACAATCTGGCAGATCAAAACTATAGAAGAGGACGGAAACACAAAATCCTAGTGCCTAGCCCAAGGTTCCACAAGTCCACAGGAAACCGAAACTTCCAAACAACCAAGCTGTTCTTCATCATCTAGCAGGTCGAAACCACAGAAGAAGTATAATGAACCAAAAACAACTGACCGCACAAAAATCCAAGATAATTCTATAAATGATAATAAATAATTCTATAAATGTTAATATGTCCTCAGGGCTTTTTGATATCAAGGCTCAGAAATAATAATTTAGCTATTCGTCACCATCTGCCGGATCAAAACCAAGGATTATCGGACAACAGAGAACTTACAGTACCTAATGAATTGTTCCTTAAGAAGTTTGAAATCCCTCAAGATGACCAAGCTATTCTTCACCATCTGGCTGATGTGGATAATCAAAACCACAGGGGACTGAGAAAATTTACAGGGCAACAGAGAACTTACAGTACCTAACACAGGATTGAGTAAACGATATTCTTCATGACTTTTGGAACTGGAACTCGCAAATGATAATCACGATGAATCTGCCAGATTAAAAGCACAGAAGCATATAGAACATAAGCCAAAATCAGTGCATTATCATATAGCGCCACCCTTCATCCATTTAATAAGACACTGTCAAAGATCCCAAATAAATCACGATAAATGAACAAGAAACCTAGCGAGGCAGGAAATAAAACAAATAACAAATAATGATAAATGATGAACAATTTATTGTTTCGATCTTGTTGATTAAACCAGAACTACTACCTGATCCATACTACTCTACAATCTGGCAGCTCAAAACCATAGACGAAGTAGTCCAAACAAAAAAGAACTGGTAGTGCATAACCTAAGTTTGCTTTGTTAATGATGAAGTCCTCAGAGCATTATGAAACCCACTCCTAAAAATTAACGAGATAATCTGCTGAATCAAAACCATGCCAGGATTACTGGGCAACAGAGAACTAACATCGTCTTATGGAAGGTTGTTCCTTAAAATATTTGAGCCCTGACCGTAACTTGCAAATATTATTCTTCAAAGAAGATGAACTCATGAATCACAATGAATCTGACGGCTCGAAAGCATAGAACTACAGAGAAACAAAAACATACATTTTAGAAACACAAAAGAAATTTAGAGAAACGAAAGACTTACAGCGCAAACTTTCTATTATTGAAAGCAAAACCCCAAAATGACAATATCGTTGTTCGTCATCAACTGGCCGATCAAAACCGTAGAAGTATTGTGCAACAAAAGACAAACAGTGCCAAAGCAAAGTCTTCTCTCTAAAAAACATCACGTCCTCAAAATATAAACTAGTTTTTGAGAATTAAGGAAAATTTTGGAAACAACTGTCTGTACGCGAAATCAAGGTGGATTAATTCACACAAACAAATTAAAGGAATATGCAGAAGCTAGCTTTGAAAAACCGCGAAGACAAAAAAAATCAAGGGAATCTGCAGAAGCCAGCTTTAAAATACTGCAAAGACCAATAAAGAAACTATGATCTGCAGAAGCTAGCTTTAAAATACTGCAAAGACCACTAAAGGAACTGGCATCTAGTATGTGCTTCAAATAATATGGACTCACCATAATTTAGTGTCAACCAAATCAGAGAACTGAACTAAACAGATCCCAGTATGAAAACTACTTCCCAATAGAACAACTTACAGTTAAGAAAACCAAAGTTTCTATGGTCCTCAGTCTTCTTGAAACGGAAACTTCCAAACTGAAAATCAAGCTATTCTTTCACCTGATAAGTTTGAAGCGATAAAAGCAGAAATGCAAAACAAAACCGTTACAGTGCCCAACTCCAGATTGCTCCATAAATAATCTCCAGTCCTCAAGACCATCTGGATTGCTCTCTACTCCACAGTCTGGCAAATCAGAGCCATACAACAAACCAATAGAACAAACCAATAGAATATAGAACATAAGCCAAAATCAGTGCATTATGCCACCCTTCATCCATCTAATAAGACATAATGTCAAAGATCCCAAAAAGAATCACGATAAATGAACAAGAAACCTAGTGAGGCAGGAAATGAAACAAATAATGATAAAAGACGAACAATTTATTGTTACGATCTTGTTGATTAAACCAGAACTCCAGAACTCCTACCTGATGCAAACTATTCTACAATCTGGCAGCTCAAAACCATAGACGAAGTAGTCCAAACAGAAAAGAACTGGTAGTGCATAACCTAAGTTTGCTTTGTTAATGATGAAGTCCTCAGAGCATTATGAAACCCACTCCTAAAAATTAACGAGATAATCTGCTGAATCAAAACCATGCTAGGTTAACCCGGCAACAGAGAACTTACATCGCCATATGGAAGGTTGTTCCTTAAAAGATTTGAGCCCTGACCATAACTTGCAAATATTATTCGTCAAAATCAAAGACGACGATAAAAAAAATTTATTGGGCAACAGAAAACAGATAGCATATAGCCCAAGCTTGCCCCATAAAAGATATTCTTCACGATTTCTGAAATGAGAACCTCACTAATGAAAAAAAGTTGTTCTTCACCATCTAACAGATTAGAAGTATTGAGGTAAAGAGAAACAAACTTGCGATGTAAACGCGTAAAGCATAGACAAACAAAAAAACATGCAGTGTCAGTCAACTAATGCCCCAAACTTTCTATCATTTAACTTGCGATGTGAAAGCGTAAAGCATATGGAAACAAAAAGCTAGCAGTGCCACTTAACATCCGAACTTCCTATTATTGAAAACAGAAGTCCAAAATGATGATAAAGATATTCTTCTTCGTCTGGCTGATCAAAACCAGAACTTACACTGCCTAAGCCAAGGTTGCTCTCTAAAAAAATATCAAGTCCTCAAGACATAAACTAATCTTCTGAGAATAAGGAAGAAGAAAATTGAAACGACTCTGTACATAAACTTGTGCATTGCTTCAGGCAGACTAATCAAAGGACTAGAGAATTAGCTTAAAATACCGTTATCAATCACAGAACTGAACTGAACTGAACTGACCAACTTACAGTTAAGCTAACCAAAGGTATGTACCAGATACTGTCCACGGCCACTCTTCGAACCGAAGCTTCCAAATTGAAAAGAAACCTATTCCTTGCCATCTACCAGATCAAAATTCATAAAAGAAGAATTGGACAGAAAAAATCATACAGTGCCTAAGTTGGACACCAAAAATCTTACAGTACATATCTCAAGACTGCTCAGGAAAGGATCTTCAGTCTGGTATATCAAAACCATAGAACACCTATCAGAATCAACGGCACTACTACCAGGACTAATCCCATTAACCATCTGAAAATATCAACAGCGAGCAATGCCCTAAGCATGTCCAAGAACGACCAAATCACATAAGGTCAGCGTTAACATACCAGATACCCCAAGAATTGTGTGTTTGGGATCCAATTAAGGTACAACCAAAAGAAGTCAGATCAGCAGAGCACAGAATGATAAAACTGATCTAAAGACAGATCTAACTCCAGCACAGTCAGAACCCTATAGTACAATCAAAACAATTAGACGGTTATTAGTTCAACGATAGCATACCAAATAATTATAACAGTTATGAATTAGGGCCACGACAAATAGAATGGTTATAAGAATGTTAGCAGATTTATATTTAACACGCCAGGCACCCCCAAAAAAAAGAAAAAAAAAGAAAAAAAAGAAAAATAGATGAAATTGATCTAAAATAGAGATCCAAATTGCACAAGAACAAACAAAATAAGTAGAAAGATTGTGAAGTTAGCATTAGAACACATGTTTATCCAATAATCAACGATCAAGTTAACCAATTTATGGTAAAATACTAAGCCAATTTATGGTAAAATATTAACGAAAAGGACTGGTTAATTCGATGAACAACAATCCAACATAGATATCCTACATACATTCGGCATCCAGATCCAAACTGCACAAGACAAATCAAAATAAGTAAAAAGAATATAAGGTCAGCGTAAGCAAAACTAGAGTCCTAACTCCATAATAATCAGTACCTTACATATATTAAAGATCCAAATAACACGAGATGAATCAAAACAAGAAGAAGATAAGGTCAGCGCTGGCAAATCATAGGCAAAACCTGATAGGCCAGAGACATAGACAACGGTAAAATCAATATAAAAGAGAATAATCATGATCGAGATCTAAATCGGACATCATAAAACAAAATAAGGAGATCGATAAAAATTAAAGAGCCAATAACCCGTCAGAGGTTAGAATCAACCCAAAAAAACCTAATAAATCGTTTGATCTAAGATCAACAGAAGATTCAGTGATCAGAAGTTACCAGAAAACTAAAGATCCAAATCTAATCTTTAAAATATCAACCAAAAAACCAAAAAAGGTCAGATTAATAGAATAGAAAACGATAAAATCGATCCAAAATTAGTTTTTTAGTTGACGGGTAGCATGAGGAGGTCAAAGTTGAGAAGTTTCCAGTAATTATTCTGTTGGGATTCCTTGTGCGCTGCCGAGGCCCGAGTAGGATAAGGTCAAAGTTGGGAAGTTTCCAGCGGAGCTCACGAAATACACTAATTTTTTGGGTTGTTTGTTTGAGTGGTTTTATCAAAAACCTTAGGGCCTGTTCGTTTGCCTTAAAAAATGGGAAATCAAAGAAATAGAAAACTATTTCTAAGAAAAATGGGTTTTTGAATTGTTTGGTTGGCTAAAAAAAAGGAAATCAAAGAAATGGAGATGAGATGAGATGAGTTGTCACATTATTATTGGATGATGTGAGTGATTTTTTAAGAAAACTAGTTTTGATGTTGTTCGGTTGGCGAAAAAAATAAGGAAATGAATTATAAGAAACAAGAAACTTATTTCCTGTAGTTTTGTTGTTTTTCTTTTGTTTGGTTCATTCTTAAAAATAAGAAATGAAATGAGATGAGATGAGTTGTCATTGTATTATTGGTTGATGTGAAGAAAGATTAAGAAATGTGTTTTCACAACTTTTTGGGATGAAATGGAAGAAATGAAATGTTAATGAGATGATGTGAATTGTTATAATATTTTATTCGATGATGTGAGTGATTTGAAATGATGAAAAGAGATGAGTTGAGTGATGTTTGGATGAAAATAATATTTTATTAGATGTGATGGATGAGTTGTTAGATGAAAATAATATTTTATTAGATATGGTGGATGAGTTGTTAGATGAAAATAATATTTTATTAGATATGGTGGATGAGTAGTTAGATGAAAATAATATTTTATTAGATGATGTGGATGAGTTGTTGGATGAAAATAATATTTTATTGGATGTTGTGGGTGAGTTTTAGGGATGGAAATGGAAAAAATGGACTATTTTGAGATTTCCACCTTTTCCATTTCCATTTCTTGGTTTTTAGGAAATAAACGAACAGGCCCTTATAGTAAATGGTTGATATTGACAGTTTTGTAAATAAAATTTTTCTAGAGATTTTATAAATTGTATTTGGTTAAAAAAAATTATAGAAATTTTTTTATAAAGTTCAGAAAAATAACTCATTTTATAAAAATCAATTTCCGCTCAAAATAGGCGAAAATCAATTTCCCCTCAAAAAGCAATGTTGTTTTAGCAATTGCTTCCTCCACAGTAGCTACTCTTTTATTACCTGGTGGTCGTATAGCTCATTCTAGATTTAAAATATCTCTTACTATGGATGAAACTTCTTTTTATTAAATAAAAAAAAGGAACCCAGCTCTGTATACTTATTGAATCTTCAGTTTTGATCATATGGGATGAAGCTCCCATGAGTGGTAAGAGATGTTTTGAAACTTTAGATAAATAATTTTGTGATCTTTTAGACATGCCTAATATACCATTTGGTGGAAAACCTATCATTTTAGGTGGTGATTTCATTTTGTGATCTTTTAGACATGCCTAATATACCATTTGGTGGAAAACCTATCATTTTAGGTGGTGATTTCAGACAAGTGCTTCCAGTTAAATCGCAAGGAACCATTTGGTGGAAAACCTATCATTTTAGGTGGTGATTTCAGACAAGTGCTTCCAGTTAAATCGCAAGGATCTAAAGAAGACATTATTAGTTCCTCAATTACTTTTCATACCTTTGGTCATACACTATCATATTTTTATTTTACCTAAAAACATGAGACTATTTAACCCTACATTAAATTTAATCGAGAGAGAATTTGTTTGTGTATTGGAGATGGAACCATAGAGGTTTGATGAAGATGATTGTGATAGCAAATGGATCAATATTCCAAGCCAATTTTTATTGCCTGCTAACAAAAATCCATTACATACCATTATTTCTGAAATTTATGACAATTTGCAAACTTCTTTTTTTTAATATTGATTATCTTAAAGAAATTAAGAGGAATTGTTACTCCAAAGAATTGTAATGTGGATGAAATAAATGATTTTATTTTGGATCTTATTTCTGGTAAATCTACAACCTATTTTAGTTGTGATTCAATTCGTTCGACTAGTGGAAACATAGACGAATTAGAGTTGTATTATCCACTAGAATTTTTGCACACATTAAGCTTTAATGGAATTCCACATCATGAATTGAATTTAAAAATTGGCATTCTGGTGATGTTAATGAGAAATTTAAATCAAGGAATGTGTCTTTCTAACGGAACAAGATTGTTAATAACACAATTAGGATTTAAAATAGTGGAAGGAAAAGTTATGACCGGACTGTTGTGCGCAGCGGAATCGAAATCACAAACAAGACAGGAGAACAAATCAACAACCAAAACAAGCACCACACAAGCAAGACATCAAATTTACGTGGTTCGGTAATGTGCCTACGTCCACGGGACAAGGAGGGAATAAATTTCACTAATAAAGAGAGAGTGTGTGCAAATAGAGATTACAATCACTCAATAATCTCACAAATATAACCCTAAAGCAACCACTCTCAAGTATATCACAAATTCTCCCTCAAAAGTGCTCAAACATATCTTAATTATCTGTTCAAAAAACCCCTCAAACCCTAGAAACATCGTGATCCTATTTATATAAACACACAATCCAAATCCGTTAGGAAAACAAAACAGCCCATTTACCCGATTCCAGTCGACCGGGCATGTTCCCGCGGTCGACCGGCTAGAACAGCGAAAATCAACCCTGTAATCAGCCATGTATCGGTCGACTGCACAGGTGTTATCGGGACCGACCCGAACAAGTTTTCAGACCCTGTGTTGTGCACGAAATCTGTCGACTGGCCTATGCTATTCGGTCAACCTACCCGCAACCAAACTAAAGCCGCTTCCTCAATTCAAATTTACTGATTTTCGTCGTGGTTTCAATAATTCTCCGCATTGATGAAGTTTCCCCAAAACTGAGCCGACCTCGATACCAACCATCTCACTTGTTGCGTCCAGTACGAAGTGGACTCAATCCACAATAACGGACTCAACCTATAATAAGTCGGGAACCCCAAAGGAGAACTCTAACAATCTCCACCGTGTCGGTATCAACTCATCAAATTGGTTGCATCAAACTAACTGCCTACGTATCCTCTTGCCTAAGGAATCAAGCATCATGTAGTTCACCCAAATGGCCTCCAAAGGCTCTCAACAACGAAGAATGTTCAACAACTCCAAACAATGACCAAAATTTACCCTAGTGATAATTTTGGTCAACATATCTGCTAAATTGCCCTTTGTATGGATCTTCTCTAGTTTAATGTCTCCATCATCCAAGACATCTCGCACAAAATGGAACCTGATATCAATGTGTTTTGTTCGGGCATAATACACCTGGTTCTTTGCCAAATAGATAGCTAACATGCTATCACATTTTACCTGATGGTATCCTGTGCAGTCCCTAAGTCATCCAATAACCGCTGCAACCACAAAGCTTCCTTCACAGCTTTAGTCAACGCCATATACTATGTCTCCATAGTGAAAAGAGTCGTTGTAGACAAAAGTGTGCATCTCCAACACACTGGTGACTCCTGCTAGTATAAACACATATCTAGTAGTAGACCGACGCTTATCAAGATCCCTAACATAATCTGAATCCACATATCCTACACTATCATGCCCATTTCTCCCATTCTTCTCAAACACCAAGCCAACATTTATGGTACCTTTGATATATCGTAGGATCCACTTCACGGCCTCCCAATAATCCTTCTCGAAGCCATGTATGTACCTAGAAACCATGCTCATGGCATATGACAAATCTGGCATTATACACATCATTGCATATATTAAGCTACCCACAGCATTGGCATATAAAACTTTGAACATGTATTCATGATTCTCAATTGAAACAGGTGATATCTTAGCTGACAGCTTAAAGTGGGTAGCTAATGGAGTACTCAACGTCTTGGCATTGCCATCAAAACTGAATTTCTTCAGCATCTTTTGCAAGTAGCTCCTCTGTGTCAACTTTAACCTTCCCTTCATCCTACCTCTCTTAATTTCCATACTTAATATCTTCTTTGCTTCTCTAAGGTCCTTCATCTTAAATTCGGATGACAACTCCATTTTTAACTTCCTAATAGCTGAAGAATTCCTGAAAGTAATAAGCATATTATCAACATATAACAATAAATAAATATGCTTACCATTTTGTAGCTTGTGCATGTACACACACGGGTCATATGGGCTCGTGTACCCTTGGCCAATCATGAAACTATCAAATCTCTTGTACCATTGTCACGGTGATTACTTTAATCCATAAAAAGATTTATTCAGTTTACATACTAAGTCATCCTTGCCTCAGCTTTAAAACCTATCGGTTGTGACATATAGATCTCCTCTTCTAAATCTCCATGTAGAAAGACTATTTTCACATCTATCTGGACCAAATTCAAATCCAGTTGTGCCACCAGCACCAATAATATTCTTATCGAATAATGTTTTTACAACATGTGAGAATACCTCGTTGTAATCTATGCCCTCACGTTGGGCATACCCTTTGACAACTAATCTGACTTTGTATCGAATGTCCCCATTAGAATATCCTTTTTTTTTCTTTGCATACTGATAATCACATTTTATTACAATTTTTATACCCTCATTATCTATTTTATATGAATAAATATACCACTAATAATTGCTTTTATCTGTTAATTGCAGGTTAATGAAGAATAAATCTCAAAACCCTCATCTCTCAACAAAAATCCCATAATTTAATAAAGAAATGATTCAAGAAGCCTAAGTGCAATTTTTGACTTTTTGAAGGCTCAAAAGCAAATGAAAACCGGATTTTCACATCAAATAAGCTCTCATGGACTTGGATGCATGGGCCGAACTTGTTATTTTTTTTCATTGTGGAAAATCATTCAAGGGAAGCTTTGATTGGGTCGAATTAGAATGATTGCTGCAAACAACATGGGCCGAAAAATCACAATCTTCCTAGATGGGCCGAAAACAAATGGAACCGGAATTGATTTTCAAAAGCAAAGGGACATGG